GGGGGGGCAGTCACCTTGTCATTCCAGTTTTCCACGAACTTTTGGAAGCCCACCGTCGGTAGTGCTCGCAGAGAAGAGTTCAAAACCAAAGTGGCTTGTTGCCGAGTGTAGTCTGCGGTGAGGGGCCTTGAGAGGGGCTCGTGCAAAACGACCGCTTGCTTTTGGGGGGAAAGGGAAAGCCCTCTGGGCGCTACTTTTTACAAAAACTAAGTCAGAATCAACTCGACGGCAGTGAGTTTTAATGTCAGTCTTTGCTCAAAGCGAGATGGGTGAGACGAACTTTCAAAGAGCAGGGCAGATCTGTATGAAGTGCGGGGGTGGGGTGGGGGAGAGGAAGAATCCGAATAGTCAGAACCCATTGGGGATAGCATTAACAGTCTGAAAACCCAACACATTTATAGGGTGTTTCTTGCAAAAACCAAGCATGAGGGAGCTTCAGCCCAACTTGTAACCCCCTTTGGCAATATCAAAGCACTGGAGGAATCCAGCGAGAGCTCTCACTAGAGGACTGTTGACTGGCCGGAGAAAAAGGACAGGCTAGGCAGAGAAATCATACAGCTGCTGTTGGATCACTTACAGTAGCTCAGTTCATATGTGTGTCTTCTAGTCTACAAGGTACAAGTTCCGTCTTCTCGTGCCTTTCCTCCTTTCTCCTCCCCGTCACATAGCCAACCTAGCTTGCTGGGTGGCACATACACAGGGGGTCACGAAGGGCCTTGTGTGCCTCATGGGCGATGAGCGCAATGATAAAAAGCACTTCCATCACAGGACTAGATCAGAGGGTGGGGTGGCCATGTGTAAATGTACATAACCAGCACTTTGCAGTTTTCAAAATGCTTTCACAAAGCTCACTTGAGCTTCAGGAGGCCTCGCGTACAGATACAGGTATTCCTGGCTGTCCCTAGTGTCAGATGAGGACATTGGCCTTTAGCAATGTGATTTGCCCAAGCTTACAGAAGTGCCTGCCTGTATTCTGTTGGCACACATAGCTACCTTTTGCACTAAAATGTAGTTTGGCACCAGCTGGACTTTTGGCTGTGTGAGGCTCTTTGGCCGAAAGTGAAGAAGTGAGAAGACTTGCTTTGTTACAACACCAAAGGTTAAATAGCAAATCTGTTAGACAATCTGAAGAGAAACGATACATTTTAAACAACAGCTGATAGTGTTGGTAGCTAGTGATGCTTTGGTCTTGTGTTTTCATTGTACATTGAATTTGTTCTTTGCCTTTCGCAGGTAAATTGAGATACGCCAACAACAGTAATTACAAAAACGACGTCATGATCAGAAAAGAGGTATGCGCCTTCTGGGAGGCCTGCTCTCACTGCAGTTCCGCCTGTTGCTTTGTGAGGTGTTTATTCTTTCTGGACATGGGAGTGACTCCTTTCTTTAGTGTGTTTTCTGTCACTATGCTGAGTCACTACTGGTGATTATGTGAGATCCAGCAGATCATGGTTTGAACCCTGACTCTGCAAATTACTAGCCGTGTGATCTTGGGCCAGTTAGTTCCCTGGTTGAACTAGGTAACTGTCACTTTTCTTCATTCACCAAAGCAGGGATGATAAAGCCTGCCCTTCTCGCTCCTTTGTAAGTGCTCTTGTAGAATAAAAGGTTATATTTAAAGTGCTTGGTACATTTCCTTGAGAAAAG